GCTGTATAAACTTAAAATCTAGAAATAAAGCAGAAAAAACAGAAATTGAATAGAAAATGTTTTGATTTGTCTTTTTAATGATGCAATATATTATCTAACTTTTGTATCTAACACATGTAATATACCTTTCTAGTGTCTTGAGTTTTTAATACTTTTTAAAAAATATATATTTTAGTTTTTTCCTATTTATGCTTTTATACAGTACTTTTGGTGTGTGTTGTTGTGTACAAGATATAACACCTGTTATCTGCTTACTGTATTTGCAAAATATTCTGGTATTTAGGACAGAGCTTCAGCTTCTTTGCAACAAAATCATCCACTAATCTAGGAAGCATGTGTGAAAAATAAAAATTCTGAAGGTGTTTCATGTGTGCATCTGTATATTTTTTGTCAAATGAAATGTCTAACTCCAGGTGTTCAGTTGATGTCCAGATAACCAGCTTGCAGCTCTGCAGCCCCAGGCACATCATTGTCAGCTGGATCTGGACAAATAAATGTAAAATAAAATGGCTTACATTTTGTTATAATGATGGTTCACAAGTATCTCTCCCATTAGTTCAAATCTTAAAAATATTTTTGTTCACCCACCTGGAGGTAGTGTCCACTTTGCCCATTGGGAACGATGAGATACTTCCCATTACTTAAGCATCTGATGTCACCGTTTGGCCGACCAAGAAATTCTGCAAGTGACATGGCACTCGTTAGGGGACACTTAATCTCAAGAAGCTGTGTTGAGTCCAAAATTCCATCTGGGCTGGTCAGGACACACCACCAGGCCTTTCCTCTCCACAGTGTGTCCGTGAGCCTCCATGAGCTGTATGGCTATGTCCTCATTTTCTTTTCCATGTTTAGTTGCAGTATTGCCAGTGAAAGTGTTCATTTAGGAATTTTTGTGGGTTGGTAGAGCTCCGCTTGGGGACTCTCTTTGCTGTGCTCGCAGTCAGTCGCCGCTTCCTTGCATCATGCCACAGTTGTGATGCACTCTGTACCTGTGTCTCTTCAGTCAACTTCTCCAGCTGAGCAGGGCTTAGTTGAACATAGGTCTCATAAAAAGTGAGACACTTCTTACAAGTTAGTGCTGTTCCATGTTCTGTATGTGGTATCTGTAGACCACATTGGCTCTGAGAAGACTCATTATTCTCTACATCTAATCTGTAACACCGCTGAAGGAGACCATCTGTCTGTAGATGAAATAGTGGGGCCATCACATACCCCTTTTCCACCAAGGCAGAGCTGGTGCTGGTTCGGAGCCAGAGCCTAGTTTCAATTCGGTTCTTTGTTTTTCCACACGCAAAGCACCAGCTCCGAACCAGGAAAAGTGGTTCTTAAGTAGCACCAAATCATTGCTGGTCTAGAACAGAGCCAAGTAAGAACCGCTTGCGTCAGGGGCTGGGGGCGGGGTTACCGTGACCAACAAGACGAATAGAAACTTGTGACCGCCATTTTTAAATAGCAGCTAGTCGAGCTAATAGCAGCTTGATTATAATATCCGTCTATGTAAGTTACGGCGAGCTGCACAAACGCGTTGGATTCCGATGTATTTTTGCAAACCCATGAGCATCCATAGTAACCCAACGTCCGTTATTGTTGATGGCTTGTTCGAGATGCATCGGAGCGGCGCGGACCGATCGGAGCTGCGGGAGTGTTTGGAGATCATACGACTCCTTGTGCTTTTGGATCGCTTTCGCAGTGCTTTGATGTCATGCGGCGATCGATCTGCGAGAAGCCGATGCATCTCGAACAAGCCTGGCGTGTTTGGCGCTACCGCACTAGCTTTGCTGGGCAACATGAGACGTATGCAGTGACGTAAGATCTGGCTCTGTTGTGGCTCTCTAGCCGGTGGAAAGGCAAACCGGTTCTTAGTAAGCTTGTCAGTCGAACCAACTCTGAACCAGCTCTGGCTCTGGCTCCGAACCAGCACCCGGTTCTTGTTGGTGGAAAAGGGGTAACAGAGGAACTGACATACATTTTAAATTCTGAGTGATCCTTGAAAAGTTTGGGGAAGCCTTCTGTGGATGACACACTTATGGGATCTGGTGCTGATGAGCCTGGATGAATGTGGTCTGGTTTATGACGTTTGAAATTAATGTGCTTAACCTTTTTCTGCTCTACATTCTGCCTTGTGCCTGCATTCCACTTCCTCTGCACATCAGTACATGATATCCCTGTCTTTCCCTGTCTGACTGCATTCTCAACCTACATTAGAAAATTGCCCATTATAAAATACACTCAGCAGTTGCAAACTGATTTAATTCAATTCACATTTATTTATTTGCCTTTCACAATACAAATCATTTAAAAGCAGCTTTACAGAAAATGCATGTTGCCTACATTACAATTTATTGTGATCTTTTATCAGAGGTGACTGTATCCAAGTAATGTCATAAATATACGTATACATACAATTCACACAGTTAGCTAATAATGTATTAAACTAAGGCAGAAACAATGAGCTCATTTAAGTAATGAATACAAATGATTAGGTTATAACAAATTATTAGGATGTAACAGGCAAACTGATATTACAAAACTACCAGAAATATCAGCATTTTACCTTCCAAAGTATTGCAGCTGCATGATCGCCCTGGTCCCGCAACACATGAGCACCCAGCTGTCTGTACTTCACCTGACGATGAAACTAAAACCCAGGCCCGGTGATGTGGGACTTTAAGGCGCTGACTAGGCTCTATGTCCGCTTTAAGGTAGACAAGATTGTGTCCCGTCTCCTTTATCAAAACGCGACCGACTTTATTACTATGCAAGTACTGATAAGCCTCAGAGCTTTTCAGATTGTTCATCGCTTCACCGTCCGTAGCAACGGAGTCAATAAAGTAGCTAAATATACTGGTGTAAGTTATCTGAGGCCACTTCTTCAGGTCGTCCTCCCATCCCTCAACAGTAGAAGGCAGTGGTATAATCAAATTATTCCGTTTGAGGTGTAACAGACTGTGTTCCCACATATTTAAGTTACCGCTACCATAGACTGTTTATGACCCTTACCATAGAAAACGCCGGTTCCGGTTCAGTGACAGTACGCGCCGGAAGTCGCGCCCATAATTCACGCAAGGAATCATGGGGGCTAGGAATAAGGTGGATAAAACAGTGAAATCTCCCACAAACTCTTCTGTCTTGCCTGCACTCGAGACAGTGACGTGAGCTCCACTGAAAGTCTTCTTTCCTATTGGTTGTCGCTCACGAAAATCGCTTCTCATTTGCATAAAGTTGAAATTTGTCAACTTTTGTCGCTTGACACGCCCACATTCTGTCGCCAACGCTCACTGTCGCCGGATGTTGGCAACGCTCCATTGAAATAATAATAATACGTTTATTTTCTATAGCGCCTTTCAAGAAGGTCCGGAGGGTTGTTTCATAAAAGAAGCTTTGAAAAGCGGGGATTAAGCTCCAAAACCCGACTTGAATTAACCTAACAAATCAGTTGGGGTTTAAGGCGGTTTCATAAAAGGTAATTCAAGTTCACGCAATCTCACTAATTTGAACCAGGTTTATCTAGTCTAGATAATTGCGCGTGCACGCTATTCTTAAGAAGCCCTGATGGTGGAGCATAGATTCATCAATTTAACATGGCAACTAAAGGGAAAGAGAGAGCAGCGATGTTCACGGCAACTGAGCAGCAATTACTTCTCGAATCTTACGAAGAATTTAAACTCATGATTACAAAAAAAGGAAATACCGCAGCAATTAATAAAACGAGAGAAAAAGGCTGGCAGGAAATTGCTGATCGTCTCAATGCGTAAGTATCAATTAATGTAGGCCTACATTACTATATTTTATTAAAGTTAAATGAAATGTTTGTCACAATACATTGAAGTGTGTGTGTGTGTGTGTGTGTGTGTGTGTGTGTGTGTGTGTGTAACTTTTACAGCAGCAAATTAAGTGAAGAAAAAAGAACATGGCAGCAGGTGAAAATAAAATATAAAAATATTGTTCAGAATGGTAAGTATTAATCATAAAGTATCTATGCAAGTAATTAAGCATAACCAGCTTGATGTTACAACTGTCCAGTCTCATGATGTTTAATATTTGCAGCTGCCAAAAAGAAGAGTGAGGTTTCTGGCACTGAGGGAGGGCCACCAACAGCCAACTTTACTCCTGCAGAGGAGCTGGCGTTAGACCTGAATAAAGGGAGGGCTGTCATTGAGGGAATAGAGGGGGGAACAGCATCTGGATCCATTCCATCCAGTATAAGAGATCACTACTTAAAAGGTATTTTGTTTATTTTATTTATTTTTATTCTTGCATTCCTAACTAAATCTTTTTGTTTTATAGTGATGCCAAATTCTGTGTGCTTTCTGGATCCACCAGACATCATGCTGAACCCTGTGAGTATGACAGTATGAGTTTAAAGCACTGATTTTTCTAGTGGTGATTTATTAAACCAAGTTTAATTAATGGTTTTAGGTTGAAGGCCCATCTACAGTTGAGGAGGATGAGGAGACTGTGTATGTTCAAGGAGGCCTGAGGTAGGCACAGATTTCCACATTATATATTTAAAAGCCTACCTGTGAGGTGCTAAATTGTGTATTTCCATTTTTGGCAACAGGATGCTGACACCCTTCTAGAGCCCTCTCAGTCTGGGACCACATGTGACCAAGTGAGTATTAAAAAATTACAAAAAAAGTGCCAAGAGCACTAGATCAAACTGAGAAAACTTAAATGTCTGCTCCTACAAAACCCAGAACATAAAGGGAGTCTACAAAGGGTATCTCCTGAAACAAATGGAGGCCATAGATACTGACATCCAATATAAAAAACTCAAGATGAGAAAGTTGGAGCTGGAAATCCAACAGCTTGAGAAAAATGTAAGTAGAACTGCCATATTTAAAACAATGACACATGACCTTTTTGTTTTTTGACCACATTTAATTGTATGTTTTCACCCCCAACAGCCAGCTTCAACCTAAATAAAATAAAAAATTAAATATGACTTGTGTGTCTGGTAAATTAAGGGGAAAGTGAAAACTTTTAACATTTGGACAGTATTAACCAAAATAATTATTGGCATAACTGTCTCTTATAACCCTGCCTATTTCATTGTCATCAAAAATGCCTTCAATGTCCCAGTCTTGCTCTACAACCATCCTTGGTTGCCTCTCTCTCCTCAGACAGGCAATGTTATGTAGCACAACACATGCAACTACAATGTCACATGCCCTTTGTGGAATCACTCTGAGGTAATTCAGGCACTGGAACCTTGACTTGATGAGCCCAAATGCCATCTCTATTCGTGCATGGGCAATATTGTAGTTGTGCTGTGCCTCAGTCTGCGTCTCCTGATAGGGAGTCAAGAGATAAGGCAGGCATGCATATCCCTTGTCTCCCAGCAAAACTCCTGAGAATTGACCTGAAAAAAATAAAAAAAATAATAATAATTTAGCACTGAAATTGTTGAATGTATTTTAAAGCTGTAGTTCCTGTAGTACTAACACACCTTGTGCCAGTTGGTGGGAAAGAGAAGAGGCCCGAAAGATTCTGGAATCATGCATTGAGTCAGGCCATTTTGCCTCTACATTTGTGATGATGCAATCTGCATCACAAATCATCTAAATAATTAAAAATGTAGGTCACTACATTGGACTTATATATATATATATAAATAAATAGAATTGTTAATGCATTTGCAATAAATAGAACACAGGTGCCCAGCTTATTGTAAAGAACAATCGCTTCTAGCCTACAATATAATCTCAGTGGGACTGTACCTGTACATTGATGCTGTGTAATGATTTCCTATTAACGAAGTCTGCTTCATGCGGACCAGACGGGCGCTTTATGCGCACGTGGGTGCAGTCCAGAGCTCCGATAACATTTGGGAAAGCTTCAAAAGTTAAGTTTTTTTTAAGTGCATTAACAGACAATAAATATTTCCATTTTCTATATAGTTCTTATTTGAACTTACCAGCGATTCGAGCCCGTTCTCAACCCAAGGCGTAATATACTGACTCTTTTGCCAAAGCGTCTATATCCCACGCACATGGCACCCTTTAGCGTCATATGAGACGCAGATATATGGCGCCTCCTAGTGGTCTAACCCTAACACTACCCCAGACCTAAACCTACCCAAAACCGAAGCGTGTTATATTGACGCTAAAGGGTGCCATATGCGTTGGATATAGACGCTTTGGCAAAAGAGTCAATATATTACGCTTTGGGATGAGAAAGCGTTGGCGATTCCATAAAAGGCCTGTTTAATACTGTGAATCGCTCTGTGGCCAGGGAAGGTGATGAACACATTAAGCATTTTTTTTAAAGACAGGTACACAATCCGTACAGAGCGGCAAACCGATGCTTTGCTGATATTCTCTGCATCTCCGACTGTGTACAAAAATGTTCCGCTGGCAAAAAAGCGAAGTGCAATGCACACCGTCTGTGGGACTGTGAGCGCTTTATTGCGCCGTGTGCTTTTTGCGATGTGTGGGCTCAGTAATCTACAAATATATGCTATCCCTTCCCTCGAGAATCTATACCGCTCATGCAGGTAGTAGTCAGAAAAAGCCAACGGGTCTGCCCTGTCCCTGAAAGTACGTTCTCTTTGAAATGCCCTGCGTATGATTATCGCTCCCTCATCCACCACCTCATCAATGAAAGGACACGCCATGACTATGCGTCCTCCTACACGTATGGGTGGAGCTCCCTATTTATAGACGTTTAATTGATTCATTACAAAAATCACACCAACTAAACAAATAGGCCTACCTTTACTTTACATTTGTTTCACTTTTTGTATGTTCGAATGTATTACATTTATTTTTAAAGTGCATTTGTTTTCATTGTTGGACTGATAGTGGTTACATGAAATAAAATGGCAGCATGCCAGAGAGTCCGATGTCACATTCCCAGTGGGTCAGTATTAAAACGGTATTCTGGTTAAGCATCATTTCAGGCTTAGCCTGACAGTTAGCCTGCCCTGGACCAGGCTAGTTTCCCAGCATAAGTTTCCAGGGTAACTGAGTTTGAACTATTTTAAGTTTGCTTTATGAAACAGAATTCACAGACAATAAGTCTGACTAACCAAAATAAGCCTGGCTTATTTTCTAATCTTGTTTTATGGAACAACCCTCTGGTATCGTTCGTTCATTTGTTTTTGCTTTCATATATGAAAACGAAAAAAGTAGAAAACAACTCCTTTTTTCGTTTTTTTCGTTTTATTTGAAAAACGAAATTATGACTAGTCAGTTTTTGCACGGAAATCAGAGAAACCACTTGATATTCCGCTTTTCGGTCCGTGTACGTTTTGATAGTTTGTTTTTCCGTTTGAACCACAAAACAAAATAACGAGAAACCACCTTTTTTTCGTTTGTCGTTTCAAACCAAAAACAAATAAACGGTAAAAAAAGAGCCGTTCTCCCGTTTTTGGTTCTGAATCCAAAAACGAAAAATGACAAAACCAAAATCAAATAACGGTCCGATTTTGGTTTTTTGAAATTCCTTTTTCCATTTTTCCGTTTGAAGATCTAGATTAAAAAATAGACAGGTTGGCCACGTGACCCGGAAGTAATAGTAAATATGGCCTATCAAAATAAAAGCCAAGCTTTTAGAACGGTCAAAACATGCAGCACATAATGTTATACCAGAGTAACGTTAGAAGAAGAAAAATCAATTAATTAATAGGCTTATATAAACCTGGACCGGAATAAATATGTTAGCAACATATTGGATTAACATATATAAATATGTTAGCAACTCGTTGGATGCCGGGTCTGCGTTGAGCAGTGGGCAACTACCTCGCCGCACTGCCCAAAGTGCAGGGATGAGATGTTCCAAGAAAAATAAAATAAAAATGAAATTACAGGGATGGGGAGATTGTCAATGTTTTGAAGGACACTATAAGTTAGGGGATTGTTTTAGTTAGTTTTTATTTTAGATTTAGGTTTTAAGTTAAGTTGAATGGTTAAGTTTGGTCAAATGTTCATCTGTTATGTTATTTTATGCAATTAATAAATTGTTCCATTTTTTTCTATTATGTTCACTTTCAGAACTCCTTTTGTTGTAATCATTTTATGTTATTTTATGCAAATAATAAATTAATATAAACATTTTAATAAAATAAATTATGTTCACTTGCATGACATACTGCTTGTTGTCTATTATACACTAGAACCACACACCCCACTGGACTGTAGGGCTATATGTGAGACATGTTTTTAAATTTGTGAGTGTTACAGTCAACTCCTAAAACTGTTCACGCAGTATAATAGCACACATGTAAATCAGACAATCAAACATGAGGAGAAAGAGCTCATTTTGGTGAGTAGGCTAATGCCTTAAGCAGCAGTGCTAAGAAAGTGATTTGTGAAAGCACAGTTATAATGAAAATAATGGAAAGTGTTTTAATTACAGAACATAAATCAATATCTCAATGACAGTAGCTCGCACACAGCAGACACAGTGCGACACCTACTGGTATGTTTCTGTAATCGTTTTGAACTGCCCTTGATTTTAAACTTCGTTGGATTATTAGAGGACTGAGAACCTTCACATATGTCGTTTTTGATTGTATTATTAACAAACTACTATCACTATTAGTCTATTACCTAACTAGCCTGTTCAATACATTTCTATTAACACTGTAGCCTATAACGTGAGCGAGGTAACAGCGTGTCCTTGGGCTTTTTGAAAATAGATATGATGCGTTTGGATAAAATTATATTTGAGGACCAACACAAGTTTTATGAGGGTTTCAATCGAATGGCAAAGACGAGATAGGGACTGATATTTTGATGGCGGAATAGCGGAATCCCAATCTCCCTCATTATTTTATTTTACTATATATATATTTTTTAATGCTTTATTTGAACATTCAGTTTGCATAGTGTGAAACAACAGAATAATAGCAAAACAATAATTATTAAGAATAACAAAAATATGAAGAATAGTGAAAGAAAACACTACAACAACATCATATCACAAAACAGAAAACAGTTAGACAGTGATATAAACAAGAATGGGGAAAAGATAAAAAAGAAAAAAAGAAGAAAGAGGGCATTACTTAAATGAAATGAGTCTAAACATTTAATAAAGTAAAAAGTTTGTAGGTCTTGCAAAATTTTTACATGTTCTTAGTGCTTTTGGGTTAAGAGAGGATGAAATTGTAATCAAGTAATGTTTTATCTCATGTAAGAGCACCAAAAAAAATAGTTTTACAATTTGAAAACTTATATTTGTGAATATAAAATCTACATAGGAAAATAATTAGATTTATTATAAAGCAGGTATTTGAATCCGCTTTAAAAAAAAATTAAATAACACTTTTAGGATTCATAGAGAAATTTTGCAAGATATTGCTTGAGGTAAACTAACATCTTTCCAAAGTTGCTGAGTAAAACTGCACGACCAAAACAAGTGAAGAAGAGTATCAGTGTCATTCTGACAGAAAGAGCAATTAGTGTCAAAATCAGATCTGAATTTTTTCCTAAGGAAATTTTTGACTGGGTAAATATTATGAATTAATTTAAAAGATATTTCTTTTACTTTGTTTGTGAGGAGAAACCTTTGTTGTATGGACCATATATTTTTCCAATTTAAATGATCAAAAAGTCCATTCCAATATGAGATTGCAGGAGGGGCAGAAATAATGTTCTCAAGGAATATAACTCTTACTTTATAATTTCTTCCTTTTTTTACAGTGAAACATTCTCCCTCATTATTAGTAACGTTATTAGGCCTACGCATGACGTCACGTGGGAATTCACGTTGACAAGTATTCATTCAATCGCTGTCAGTTCGCTGTCCATTACGGTGGAAACCACATTAAATATAAATTTAATTATATAATATAGCGCTAACAGTAACAACTCTGCACACACAATAAGTTCTTAGGTTAACCTATATTACCAACTGTATTGAGCCAAACAATGCGCTCATTAAACGTGACTGGTGATGTCTGGATAGGCACGATCTTAAATAGCTGTAATAAACTATAAAGCCCATTTATTAATTGATTTTTCTTCTTCTAACGTTACTCTGGTATAACATTATGTGCTGCATATTATGACCGTTCTAAAAGCTTGGCTTTTATTTTGATAGGCCATATTTACTATTACTTCCGGGTCACGTGGCCAACCTGTCTATGTTTTAATGTAGATCTTCAAACGGAAAAATGGAAAAAGGAATTTCAAAAAACCAAAATCGGACCGTTATTTGATTTTGGTTTTGTCATTTTTCGTTTTTGGATTCAGAACCAAAAACGGGAGAACGGCTCTTTTTTTTTTACCGTTTCTTTGTTTTGGTTTGAAACGACAAACGAAAAAAAGGTGGTTTCTCGTTATTTTGTTTTGTGGTTCAAACGGAAAAACAAACTATCAAAACGTACACGGACCATTGACATATGACATTTTCCTATGTAGATTTTATATTCACAAATATAAGTTTTCAAATTGTAAACCAATTTTTTTGGTGCTCTTACATGAGATAAAACATTACTTGATTACAATTTCATCCTCTCTTAACCCAAAAGCACTAAGAACATGTAAAATTGGCAAGACCTACAAACTTTTTACTTTATTAAATGTTTAGACTCATTTCATTTAAGTAATGCCCTCTTTCTTCTTTTTTTCTTTTTTATCTTTTCCCCATTCTTGTTTATATCACTGTCTAACTGTTTTCTGTTTTGTGATATGATGTTGTTGTAGTGTTTTCTTTCACTATTCTTCATATTTTTGTTATTCTTAATAATTATTGTTTTGCTATTATTCTGTTGTTTCACACTATGCAAACTGAATGTTCAAATAAAGCATTAAAAAAAATATATAGTAAAATAAAATAATGAGGGAGATTGGGATTCCGCTATTCTGCCATCAAAATATCAGTCCCTATCTCGTCTTTGCCATTCGATTGAAACCCTCATAAAACTTGTGTTGGTCCTCAAATATAATTTTATCCTAACGCATCATATCTATTTTCAAAAAGCCCAAGGACACGCTGTTACCTCGCTCACGTTATAGTGTTAATAGAAATGTATTGAACAGGCTAGTTAGGTAATAGACTAATAGTGATAGTAGTTTGTTAATAATACAATCAAAAACGACATATGTGAAGGTTCTCAGTCCTCTAATAATCCAACGAAGTTTAAAATCAAGGGCAGTTCAAAACGATTAAAAAAACATACCAGTAGGTGTCGCACTGTGTCTGCTGTGTGCGAGCTACTGTCATTGAGATATTGATTTATGTTCTGTAATTAAAACACTTTCCATTATTTTCATTATAACTGTGCTTTCACAAATCACGTTTCTTAGCACTGCTGCTTAAGGCATTAGCCTACTCACCAAAATGAGCTCTTTCTCCTCATGTTTGATTGTCTGATTTACACGTGTGCTATTATACTGCGTGAACAGTTTTAGGAGTTGACTGTAACACTCACAAATTTAAAAACATGTCTCACATATAGCCCTACAGTCCAGTGGGGTGTGTGGTTCTAGTGTATAATAGACAACAAGCAGTATGTCATGCAAGTGAACATCATTTATTTTATTAAAATGTTTATATTAATTTATTATTTGCATAAAATAACATAAAATGATTACAACAAAAGGAGTTCTGCAAGTGAACATAATAGAAAAAAATGGAACAATTTATTAATTGCATAAAATAACATAACAGATGAACATTTGACCTAACTTAACCATTCAAC